GTTTTCCATTTTCTTTTCCATTGTTCCAATATGATCCTAATATATTCCCTATTGTAACATGGTAGTTTCCGTTTTATTTTCCATTATAACACAGGTGCTGCGTGCACCCGTCCCAGTCCTGACATCGGGACAGCGCTGCAGGACGGGCAGGACAGACATGCATAGCTTCTTTCAAGCTACCAAGTTTGCAACAACGCTAGCGACTGTTAGTGTTGTGCAAGCCAAAACCCAAATGACCTTTATTGGGTTGCTGTTAAGGAACTTAAATTAAGTTACTATATTGGAGAGGCCCTATTATTGACTATATATACCCATTATGGTAACTTAATTTAAGTTCCTTAACAGCAACCCAGTTTATTCATCGCATGGGCAAGCGGCAACAAAGGAGCTGAGCACCGGGCTACCTTTGGATTCTTGATGCTGTGCAGGTAGGCATTCTGCGGCACAAGGCGATGCCATGCGATGCTGGAGAGAGTTTGAGAGCAGCCTTATGCTACTGGGTTGTTGTTAAGGAACTTAATGTAAGTTACTATCTTGGGGAAACACCATATTAGTTACTATATACCCATTATGGTAGCTTAATCTAAGTTCCTTAACAGCAGCCCAGGCTATCATGCTGATTTGCAGCACTGCCATGAGCATAGCTCCCAGCCCTGACAGGCGGCCTTTTAAGCTTTGGAAGGCTGTAAAAACCAGGGAAGGACACTGGCTAGGGAGTTGCCCAGCCAGTGGCCCAAGCTGGCCGGTACGGATTGGGGCAACTATGCCTTACATCAGCATGTTCAGATCCTCAGCTCAAGGCAGTTCAATGTGAGTTTGAGCAACGAGTTCTGCATTCTCCAACCCAGCCCAAAGCTGCCCTAAAGACCACTTGTTTGCAAGCTTGCCTCAGGACTGTGTTCTTGAAAGCAGCGGGAAGACCACGGGGCACATTACGTCTATTTGAGGCCAAACGCAATCAAGGCTCTGAAGGAACGAAAACAAGATCCTTGCTCTTGGACGTTGTGACCTCGAGGCAAGCTCTGCGAAGTGCGCAGATGCTGGCAAGGCCGGCTGTAGCTGCTCTGTTGCACGAAGGGCTGCCAACCAGTTTCATGCCATCTCGCATGCTAGTCAACAAGGTTTTGTGCAGCTGCAATATCCCTTCATGTTATACTCCGCCTCAAGTAGATAGAATTTGGCTTTGGGTATTCTAATAAGATCCCCATATACCCCATATTCTATCTACTCAAGGGAGCTACAAAAAGATCTGTAGGGCTTTCCTCCCTTGTATCCAAGCTGCTGTATGCGTAGTTGGTTGGGATGCCTGGCGGCTTGCCCCACCAATAAACAGTCCTTGTCTGCAGGTGAGGCAACAATAATAGGGATAACTAGGGTTACTATACGGCTTATAGGGGCTATTAACCTACTTTCTAAGTCACTCTGCTGCAAGGGCACTCTACAAGACACCGGAACAGCCCTTCTCAACTCTCAAAGGCTCAAAAGATAATCATCATCGTGGGTTGTGTCCATCTCGTGCACCACTCCACCTCAGTGTCAACTGAATGCTGACATGGACTTGCTAGGGCAACATGGATGGATGTTTGTGCTCGAACAATGCTGAGACCGATGGGATTCAAGTGATTTGTCGGACTTCTATATATATATATATAAGGATAATGGAAAAGAACATGGATACTGCTATAGTATATTGGGGTTATACAAGGATGATGGAAAAGAACATGGAAATGGAAACTACTCCCTAACCGCTAGCCCCAAAACCCTAAACCCTCTTGGGGGGATTGACAATCAGCGGCCTGGATGGTTGTGGAGTCGCTGCCACGAAGATGGATTCGTAATTCGAATCTCTGAGTAAGGCCTCGAGGCGTGTCATAGACAAGCTTCAATAAGGTTCAGGGTATAGGGAGTAGGGTTTAGGGTTGAGGTAGTAATCATCCTACCCAGAGGGTCCAAGTACCCAATAATTAGGTACGTGGGTTTAGGGTAATAATACTTATTGGAAAGGGTTTTAGGTAAGTATATGATTATTAGGTTTGTAGACGGACCCTTCAGAATAGTGTATGAAGTCTCAGCGACAGCGTATTGACTGAAGTTTGGGGACATCACTACCTGCATCTCTGGTCATGGCTCTCTCCCCGAAGAAGGCCTTTCGTTTGGAAACTTGTGCCAGGTCTTTGGCCAGGTCTTCCACCACCCGGGCCCACCCAATTGCCAGTAGGCCTCCTGCACACACACGCTTGCTGCTTCTTTGCTTGCTGTTTTGGCTAACTCTCGCAATAGTTAAGGCTGCCAACAAATGCCAAACACACCATGCCAGGCATTCATGCAGAAGGCATCCCAGCTGTCCTGATTGTCATGGTTGTGCGCCGGGTAGCAAACACCATGGTTCAGAGCCGCCAAACCCAGCACGGAGTAAGACCCGTTGGTATCCTCAGCTCCCACTTTTGCACAGTGGCGCTTCCAAACCTCACTTCCAGCACTTCCCGTCCAGCTTTTGGGGCCAAGAAGCGCACACAAGCCTCAGTATGCAAACTCATCAAACTGTTGAAGTGAACTGTCGAAACTTGCCAAGTGTGCTCTCCCATGCGCAGCTCTGACAATAAACAGTGATCAGCCAGCCAAGTCCTCACAAAAACCCGCCCGGCCCCATAGATGCCGCCCGGGTACATGTGAACAACATGTGGGTGGTTGTCAACATCACGACCCCTTTTTGGGTACCCTGGATATTAGGTGCCCCGTAGTTTAATAGGGATCCAAAAAGGGCCATAATTTTGACAACCACCCAAATATAACCCCAATATACTATAGTAGTTTCCATTTTCTTTTCCATTATCCCTCATCTAACCCCAATATAACCCTAATATTAACCTAATGGGGACCATAATTCTGACAACCACCCATGTGAGTAATGCCTAACTCAGCTTGCGAGCCGCGCAACGCGTTGAAGTATCCGGCATTACGCATGACACAGTCCTGCGAAGCGGGTATATACTGGGTTATGTTGGGAGAATGAAAAAGAAAATGGAAACTGTAGGGATTATAGGGGTTATATAGGGGTTCTAAAGGGATTATAAGGTATATGTTGGGGTTATATTGGGAGAATGGAAAAGAAAATGGAAACCACTATAATGGGTTATATAGGGATTATAGGCTTCTTGACTCAGCCCCGAGCTTTGCGTGATCGCAACTGCCGGCTGTCTCCTCCCAAAAGGTCCGCGCACCCACGGGACGACCCATCTCATCCTCGTGCTCTGGAGGGGCTGGCATACCTTGAACGAAGCCGCGGAAGCAGTGCCAATACACATGCCCTGGCTGCCACACCTAGAATTATTGCGGCAGGCCAAAACGAAGAAGCATCAGAAAAGAAGCCATCCAGCACAAAGCTGTTTGTACACCAAGCTTCCGCACCACTTTCCGTAAAGTGCATCGCTCTCATTGCCTTCCGGTATGTACTACTGCTTGCTTCAGGCGATATCCCAAACTGCTTGTGAAGGCGGGCCTGAATGCAGATGCAGTTTCGACCAGACCTCCAAAGGTACACCAGAGAGATTTGTGAGCTTCTCCATGACCTGCTGGGTTGCTATTAGGGAACTTAAATTGAATTGCCATAATGAGTACATATAGTAAATAAGAGGGTTCCTCCCAATGTTAACTTAAATTAAGTTCCTTAAATCCCTACATTCCCCCAGTTGTCATTTCATTGTCCATTTTCTTTCCATCTGATTCGCCTTTATAGGGGGATGATATCCTAAACCCTAAATAATACGTTCCTTAACAACAACCCGGCCTGTTCCTGTGGAGTGTAGGCGTTGTCCCCGAAGTTGTCGTGAGTGTCGGATCCGCACTGCCAGTAGTCCGAGAACGGAACAGCGCTGGGACGATAATCCTGTTGCGGTTTAGGGATTAGGGTTTAGGGTTCAAGGTTTTACCAATACTTAGAATACTGGAAAAAAGTGGAAGGTACTTTTTAGGGTTTAGGGTTGGGGCTATATAGGGATAATAAAAAATGGAAACTACTCTGTAATATTGAGGCTGTTTGGGGATAATAGAAAAGAAGATGGAAACTACTACCTTGGAAAAGAAAATGTAAACTACCATCTAGTACATTGGGGTTAGATAGGGATAATGGAGAAGAAAGTGGAAACTACTATAATGGGGTTTGGGGCTGTTGCACGTGACTTAGCGGAAGGAAAGCCCAAGGCTTGACAGGCCACAATAGGGCTATATAGGGTCTATGAGGATGATGGAAAAGGGTTTAGGGTTTAGGGTTTAGGGTTTAGGGTGTAAGGGTTCCCAGATTAGGGATATCATCCCAATAAAGGAGAATCAAATGGAAAATGAAATGGAAACTGGGATTACTCAACACTAAATAGTAGTTTCCATGTCATTTTCCATTACCCCTATATAACCCCAGTATAACCCTAATATTATAGAGGTCAGCTTTTTGGTCTTTATGCAACAAATAAAGGGACTTTAATGGGAACCCCAAACAGGGAACCCCAAGAATATAGTAGGAATATACTAGAATGTAAGGACCCTGGTAGGTATATTCCTATTATATTCCTACTACTTGTATGTGCTTGGGGTTCCCTGTTTGGGATTCCCATTAAAGTCCCTTTAACAAAGATGTCCTCCATTCGGAGGCAATGTCCTCCCATAGCGTCTCTCATCTCCTGTGCGCAAGTGGCTTCAACAGTTTATGGAAAGGACGAGCCTCAAGAAATATCCTGTGGAAGCCAGCCCACTTGACGTAGGCTACGCTGCGAAGGTGTAAGCCTAGCTGGGATATGCTATAGTAGTCCCTATATCACCCCAATATAATAGTTTCCGTTTTCTTTTCCATAATTCCTATATAACCCCAATATATACCCTATAATCCCTATATAACCAAACCCTAAACCCTAAACCTGGCCTTGACCTACCGAAGGTCCTTGGCCACTGCCAACTCTCCATCCTCGAAAACCAGATTCTGCACCAACGGAACAATGGAGGCCATTACCTGACAGCTTTTGGATGGGCTGCGCTGACAGCGTCTCAGCAACAACTGTAAAACAGGATGCCTTCGGGGAATCTGAAAACATGAAAGGCGCAATAAACTGCATCCGCAAGCGAGTGCTTGCGACGGCCGTGTCAGACCGTCTAATGTCGATTGCATTCCACCTACCTGATACCCATCTACGTTCAAAACATTCATGGCTTGGCATTGTCTGATGGCTGTTTGAACTGCTTTTCGGATTGAAGGCTCTGCATGTGGCAGACTGGACGCCACTGGGGCCAGAGATCCAATAAGATCAAGTTTCTTGATGGGCGGAAAATGGACGGGAGTCTGCTCACGGCAGGATAGCTCAAGATGATTGGCTCTTGCCACGTGATCATCTGAACCTGCAGCTTAGGAACCTCCACCCATGCATCGTCTGCCTGCGATGTTCGCACCTGTCCTGCCAGGTAACAAGATTTCAAGACCCCTGCAACAGGGAATACAATCCCTTACATAATATAATCCCTATATAGCATAATCCCTACAACCCCTATATGGTATAACCCCTCTACCCCCTAAATAATATAACCCCTATATAGTAGAATCCCTAAATAGTATAACCCCTATATCACCCCTTTATAATTTGTTCCCCTATTCCGACTAAGAGCCAGCATAAGAACTGGTGAAAACTGTTTGCAGTCCTCGAGTCTGCAAGGCCGACAAGGCCCCTTCTGAGGCACAGTCGTCTGAAGCAAGCGAAGCCTCGAGCTAGGGGTTCGGGAGGGGGTTTATAAGGGTCAGATTGGGGTTCTTTAGGGGTTGAATAGGGGTTATATAGGAGTTTTTCGGGATGTAGGGGTTGTATAGAGCATTTCGCGCCCTGGGTTACCAAAATTAATGGTGCCATTTTGGGGGTCCTCGGAATAACACTTACAATATTTTGGGGTCTATACTGGGGTCCCCTTATTAAGGGAAATCACCAAACAGCACAGCACATGGATGGCTTGTCCCGAAACCTAACCCTAAAGCCCTAAACCCTAAACCCCTACAGCCCTAAACCTAAAGCCCTAAACCCTAAAGCCCTAAAGCCCTAAACCCCTAAACCCCTAAACCCCTGAACCCTAAACCCTAGCACTTGCGTGTCCCTAGCCTGTAGAATGCCATCCTCGTCAGCAGCAAGGCTGCCAACGGCTGCAAGCGCCAGAAGCAGTTTTCCAAAGCTGGGCATCATCAGTAAGTCCATGACCAAAACACAAAAACCCTAAAGCCTAAACCAATAAATTGTGCCACAAAAGGTGTCGCCACGTCTTCGGGAAGCTCCGCAATCAATATGCTGGAAACCCTACAGAGCAACTCATTGTTGAACATGTTGTTCCTGTGTAAAACACATGTGCGGGAGGGATTCAGCGCTTTCAACAACAAGATCTTGAGCAAAGGCGAAACGAAGATTGAACACTTCCGGACGACGGCAGGAGTCCGTGCTATCAAGGCTTCACATGTCCCGCTAACAAGCACAGTCTGTGTATTTATCTTGTTGACAAGTGGTCCAGTGCTTGCCGCCTTGAGCTTTCGGACCAAGAGGAAGTGAAGGTCCATCTCCTCTTGTTCATGGTGATGAAGCTGCTGGGCTTGTATTCGGACTCATTTGGCACGTCGTTGCTCACTTGGCTTCAGACCCTCTATTTTCGCAGATATGGCCTCTTGTGATGAGCCAGCTGAAGCTTATGTTTTTATCCCTATCTTCAACTGTCACACCTCCAGGACCACATTGACATTGCATCAGAACTAGAAGCATGTGACCATGCATCAGGAATAAATGTCAGAAGAAGACCTGCAGAGATTGAATGTTACCACATGGGTTGTTCCCAAAAATCAGGGGCCTCTTGTGGTGATAGGCTATATTCACTAGATTACGGCACCTACATATCCAGGGGTACCAAAATTGGACCCTAATTTTGGAAACTACCCACAAAAACACAACCCTAAATCCTAAACCCGAAACCCGAAACCCTAAACCCTAAGCGGAGTTAGAGCCCTCGCTGTGCCAGTTTTGAAAGAAGGCTGTGGAGTCGGCCAGCTTTGGTGGGCCCAATATGCAGAAATTATGCAGGCCAAAGCCTAACTTTGTAGGGGTTATATAGAGGTTCTATAAGGATTATATAAGGTTATATAGGGGCTATGTAGGGTTATATAGGGAGATATAGGTGTTATGGAAGAGAAAATGGAAACTACTAGTTTTAGGGGCTGATGCAAGAGTTTGTGGTAGTTTCCCCAAATAAGGGGACCCCAATAAAGACCCCAAAAAATAATAGGTGCCCTTTTGCAAAACTACGCCAAAGATCAGCTTAAGATGTGCACAACGAAATTGACAACGACGTGGCGCAGCAGCCGCGAGAGTTGCAGTTGTGATGAAATCACACTTGTGCTACATGCACTTGCCGAAGGATAATATCCCAAAACCCTAAACCCTAAACCCGAAATAATGGTTTACATGTCATTGTCCATGTTCTTTTCCATTTGATTCTCCATAGGGGGGGGAAATCCCAAAACCCTAAACCCTAAACCCCTGAACCCCTAAACCCTGACTCAAAAGGTTTCTTTAGGATGGTTTCTGTCACCGTCCCATGGTTCTCCTTGGTGGTTGAACCCAGTAAGATTACATTCCTTATATAAGATAGTATACCCCAAAAGGAGGAGATAATCTTACTCTATATTAGGTACCCTAGTATCCCCAAATAAACAACTATACAAGTAACCCCTATATAATCCCAGTGTCCATTTCATTTTCCATTTTCTTGTCCATTTGATTCTCCATTATAGGGCTAAACCCTATATTCTTGGGTACCATAGTATCCCCAAATAGCCCCAAACCCTAAACCCTAAACTCATATAATGGGTAAACCCTAAACCCTATACCCCAAACCCTAAACCCTAAACTACTCTCCTGGGCTGGGAGATCTTGGCCGTGTCCAGCAACTCGAAGGCCTGGCAGACAAGGAGAAAATAGGGTTTAGGGTTTTAGGGTTTAGGGTTCAGAAGTTTAGGGTTTAGGGGTT